CCTTATTATTCTCTCTTTATTAGAATCTCGACTATATATACTATCTCTTCATCAATTAATGACGTTGCCAAAAATCCTTTGAATCTTTCCTGTTCACTCCCACTTGAAAGTGCGAATCAAAGCCTTCCTTCAAAACTAATTCATCCCTTTTGCTTAATAGGAATTCCAAGTGAGCCACTAATTCTCTGATTCTCAATTCACTTCCTTTTCAAAATGGATTGACAATGAAAGTACTAAAATAGTTGTGTAAGTTACTTGTGAGGGGATGAAGTTGAAGTTGCAGCTTCCGTTGGAGCCTTAAGGCCATTAGTCCTAGACTGCAATCTTTGAGCTCATCGAGCCAATTCTTCACATAATGGTCTCTGTATTGTCTTTCCTTAGCATCTTCGATGACTTTGTTGATGGCACTTAAGAGTAATTTCAAGTATTTTCAGCAAGAAGCCATTCCGGTGCCTTCCTGCTAGAAAGAAGTCAAGAACGTCACCAGAAGCAAATCTCTCAAGAGCAACCTGAATGGAAGACGAGAGAAATACTCCAGCCACCAGCTCAGCCATGGTATTTTAGATCTCAGTAAAAGGAACACAGAAGGTGTTTGTTGAGATACAGCGAAGGGATAAGAAAAGTTAAAGGTGGCTTCACTTAATCAGTTAACAAGATTGCGATTATTAGTGTAACAAGTCAAAATAAAAATTGTCGGTATCAAAGTTCACATGAAAACTCAGCAAATACTAATTACAGCTATTATTAGGATCATTAGATTACAATAAAATTGGGTTGGCTTTGTCCAAACTTCTATATTGTTCTTGTTTATGGTAAAAGAATTCAAAGTTCATGCAAACTGAGAAATCCGTTGCTAATTACAAATTACAGTTAATATTACATGTGTCCACATACTTTAGAAGATAAACAGGTGCTAAATAGGTACTTGAAATGATCCTCCTCCTCCTCCCCCTTTTTATTTGCCCCTCTAGTTTAGATATGCTTAAGAAGATAAATTGTGAAACCTTTAGCTCAAATTAAGTGTGTGTTTCGATAAACATGTTAATCGATTTTTTTAGGAAAAAAAATTGATTTTTGCCTCAATTACCCAAACATTAAGTTTTTGGTTAATTGATTTTTGGAGAAAAATTAATTTTTTCTGAAAGTTGCCAATCCAAGCTTTTATGGAAAAGCTATCAAAAAGTGTTGGAAAAAATTATAAAGAAAGACCGAAGAAAATATTATAAAGAAAGCACATAATTTAATAAAAATAAAACCAAACTCTCTTCTTTTTCTCTTTTTTTTAAAAAAAATTCAAACTTTGTATCTTCAAAAAAGTTACTAGCATTAGTTTCTGTTAACCGTCACCCTTCACTTAGTACTTACTATAAAACTAATTCAAATAAAATATTAATTAGTAGAGTAAAATTAATTTAAAATTTAGAGTCATGACAAAGATTGTTGCAAAGATCCAGAGAGATTTTGTATCATTTGTGACATTGTTACATTTTTATGTTGTCAAAATTTTAAGGCAGTGCTTAACATCTTCATTAGATATGGCTCTTATTCATAATGTTATTAGAGATCAATTTGTATATTATCATCTTTATAATAATTTAATTTTGAAAAGCAATGTCTGTTATAGTAATTTATATAGCTAAAATTGATTCTGATTAAATTATTCAAACATCTTTAATTCTATTAAAATCAATTTTAAGAAAATGATATCTAAACAGATTGCGTTATAACATAATCAACTATGATAAAATCTATCATTTAATCAATTATTTTCATAATCTTTATTATATCCAACAGAAATTCAAACGGGTACTAAACTATTTGAAACACCAAGAGAGACATGCTCTCATTTGAAGAGCAATAAAGATAACATGAGCATGTTTGAATTTTGTCTTATTTTTATTTTAAAAACTGTTTTATAATATAATTTTTATAATTATTTTTAAAACAATTAAAATAAAAATATGTTTGACTACATTAATTTTAAAAATTTTTAGAATTAAAAAAATAAGCAAATAGTAATGGCACCATGTAGTTAATGTAATGGTTTATGATAGAAATTTGTCAAACTAATTATATTTTCTAATAATCAAATGAACACAATTTTATGTTTCATTTTTTTAAAAAAATAAAAAATGAGACAATTCTAAAAACACTTTTTAAAATTAAATCCAAAATACTTATCCAATAATTGTTAATTTTTTATTATTAAAAATAGAAAAAAATTTAAAAATAAAAACCAAGCATATCCTATACTCTATTTCATCGTATGTGATGTGGTTGAATATGTGAGTATAAAAGAATCAATTTTAGATGATATTGTTTTCTATGCTTCTCAATCTCATAGCAGTTGCAAATAAGTCAGGAATACCATTAAACTATTATCCATGAGGCATTAGGTACACTTCATAGTGCAAAATGCATATGACAATTGGTGGTTTGGAGAAATGGAATATACTTTGAATAAGGAAACCTTATTTTCTACTTAATTGTGTCATTAAAGGAAAGAGGACGGTACCTCTGAATTTATTAATAACCCTCACTTATGGTGGAGGAATACCATGGTTACATTAGATATTGCCAAAAAAAAAAAACAATAGAAACAAAATGTACAAACCACAACTTAGCATCGTTCTATTTATACACCTGACCTATAACTTCATGACCATGATCATAGAAACACAATTCTAATTCACAAAATTTTTAATCTTACAACAAGATAAAAGAAAAGATTATAAAAACTAAAAGCAGAAGTAGAACAGAAAGAAATACCGACTCACTAAAATCTATCTTGCCTTCTAACAATAGGGAGACTCTTCTGATGTATAGTCATGTACCTTTTGACATTTGGCATTGTTGAAATTTCTGAAAATTTCATTTATTTTTCTTTCTCACTCCTTTGTTGAGTTGATGCTCGTCAACTGACTTCTTTCCTGCAGTAGTCATGGATCGCGAAGGCTTCCAAGTTATTACTCTATATGCCAAACAAAAACTAGGGTTGTAATAAGGAGAAACAAATCTTATGACAATAACAAATTTGAAAGGAGGATGCTTCCTCACCAAATTTCTTTCTTCATTTAATTATTTAATTTACACTTCTAATTCATTCTTCCACTCATTTCTCTAAGATGTTCCCCTCTTCAAACTCTTTGAAAATCTGCTTGCCACCTTGCAAACGAAACCCTTAATTTCAAGGAAGATTCATTGTTAAACACCAAATGAGATATGTTCTCAATTGAATATTTGATAAAAAAAAATATGTTTGAGTTTGCTTTTTTCTTGAATATGTATGGAAGAAAACAGGGGATGTAATTCTTTCTAACGAATCTAATCTAGCATAGCTTCAATATATCACTAAATATCAGCATCTTCAACATCCGGATGAGTCATTCATTTGTGTGATTTGTCAGCAAAATACTATTTCTTTTTTCAAATATAAATGAAGCCACATAACAATGTGAGAGTTAATTAATCTTTCCCTGTCTCTCTTTGAGAGCCATTGCCAAAGTAATTGACAATTGAAAGAAAAGTTAAACACTAAATTTTAGTCAATAATAATTATAACAATAGATATTATCAAATAAGGAAGGAGGGCCATGAGAATACCAAATAGAGCCTAGTTGAGACATATTATGAATTGCACTAAGAAGTGATAATATAATTGATATGTTTTGAGCAGGTCACTACCTCATAAGATTTTTTTTTTTTATTAACACATACTATGACCACTAAAAACTGTTTATGTTCCAGAAAAAAAAAAAAAATCAACCAATGAGTCCATGTGCAATTCAAGTGACGCAGCATTGGCGAGAGTGAGAATAAGAAGATGCATACAAATGGGGCCTTCAAGTGATGTTTTCAAGTGTTGTCTCCGCAAACCAATGTTTATTTAATTATTAATAATTCTACACACTATATATATATATATATATATATATATAACCAGAGAAAAGAAATGGAAATTCAAGAAGATTTAGGTCAATGAGAATAATGTAGGTGTAGGAAGTACCTTCACAAAGTAGCTCTTCGAATTTGCAAATTGAATGTAGGCTTTGAAATCTCAAACTAATGCAAGATTAGGCTGAATAAAAATCTTTTCATGTTATTTCTCATAAAAAAAAAAAAATAACGATTAATAAAGGCACGCGATTACCATGCATTTGTTGTAAGAGGAGAGATTGACTTTAGCATATGGAAGAGAAGACAGGAATAGAAAATGACTTTTTTATTCTTTTTATATAGATAGGATTATATTTAAAAATAAGATAAAATATTAAAAAGGGAAATCAATATCAGCCTTTGTTTGAGCAATATGTACAAGGCCATGCATGAGAGAACTTAATGTATGCATTCTAATCATGTATAAAGCCTCAGTATTTGACCAAAATGACTTTTATAGCCTTAAAAACCAGTATTGATGTGCCTTCACCAACAATTTTGAAAATCTGGTCTAATTAACACCCCCCAAAATAATTATTAAAGTAGCTTGGTTTGTTCTCATAATCACAGTATATATGTTGACATATATGTACACAGATATGCGCACGTTCTCTCTCTCTCTCTCTCTCTCAAGAAAACAAATGCTGAAACCTTGAGTCCAACATTAAGTGAGACATGTTCTCATCCGAGTGATAAACGAAGATAATTAATATATTTGCATTTTTCGATAAGCTAAAATACGGACATGTATATGGAAGAAATCATTTTATTGTGTGTCCAAATTAAAATAACATTTACGGATATATACTTGCAGGAACATGTGAATTGGAATTGAGCCAACAACCTCACTTTAATATGATTCAATTCTTGATGAACTAACTCCCGCACTTGCTTACTAACAGAATTAACATAATCTATTTAAAAACGATAGATAAAATCTTTAAGCATCAGGAAATTAAAGTAATGCAAAACAAAAATTTGAGAAGAATCAATTACCATTACAACAGAACAGCTTCCTATTTCTGCTTAAAATTGGGTGCGGTCCTTTGTTCTCTCTTTGACGAAATACCTTGAAGCCTTTAGGCAATGTTCCCAAGAGAAGAGAGGTCTCTGCAAATTATGTTTTTGTTTATATTTAATTGTGAGGGAAAATTGAATGGGACTTTTTGATTGAAAATGAGGGAGTATGATGAATTCTAAACATACAGATCAAACGCAGGGAAAACAACTCCAGCAACATGTGAAGTTATGAAGCAGTTCTCATGAGCCTTTGCTATTAGAAAATGCTTGATTGAAAAGCGCAGCAAGTTTCTGGAGCGAAATTAGTTGTCATGTGTTGTCGACAAAAAATAAAGATAAGCGAGAAGTTGTTGAGTGAATAGATGAAGGCAGGAAATTAAAATTATCAGATACAAAAATATGTGGATGTAATTTACAAAACGTACCTTTAAAACTCTACGCGTTGCTGTTCATCATATATTATGATGCGAGGGATGTAAGAAATTTTGGGCCAATCGGGTCCTATCTCTCTTTGACACCGCTGCCTAAGCAATCGACAACGATAACTGATACGTAAATCGGAAAGGGATCTGGGTAAGCCTTGCTCTGGCATGTCTTCGAAGCTTAGACTTGGGCATTTACAAAACGCCAAGGATGTAAGAGAATGGAGGTGGAGAAGGCCCCTGTAATTTATTGTTTTTAATTTTAAGCATCCGATGAATACAAGAGAGTGGAGATTGGGTGGCAGCAATCCTTCCTCTGGGAAGGATTCCACATCTTCAAAGTCATCACCAACTGCAAATTCTTTCAAAGATAGCAGCTCATGCAAACCCCAAGCCTTACGAGAAGCAATCACTTTTGGGCATTTTCTAATTCTAAGATAATGCAGATGTGAAAGCAAACCTCCTTGTGGGAGTGATTCCATCTTTGGACAATTTATTAAAGTTAGGACATGAAGAGGTGGAAGGGTTTCTGTGGAGCTCCATGTCGGCATATGCTTCATTGAAATCTTCACACACTCTCCTAAAACTATCGTTTCGAGGACAGGGGACTTAGGAAGCAAAGTCTCCAGATTTTGGCATCTAGAAATATATAGTCTTTTCAAAGAAGGAAGGTGCTGAGGTAGGGACATTGTCAATGTTGGACATCCCCATATGAAAAGTTCTTCAAGGCATGGGAAACTGTCGCCCTCATAACATATGTTCCATTCCTCCCATTCTTCCATGCTCTCAAAATGTAAATATGCAAGTGACCGAAATGGAGCACTGGAGGAGGCATTCCCATAAAACTCTTGGCCGATCACCTTTATTCCTTCAAATCCCTTAATCTTAAGTCTCTCAAGGAAAGGTAGTTGTCCTAGCATTAGCAAGCTCACAAAATTTTTACAATCCTACAAATGCAAAGACACTAAATTGGGTAAACCAGGATCAACAAGCCAGTTCGGAAATCAAGTGCCCCCATAGTATCTAATGGTGAGCTCCTTTAAGCTACAATTTGGCTCCAACGCCTCCAATACTTGCTCTTGTTTTTGTGACATTTCACAGTTTACCACTCGTCCCCAATTTAAATTCAATCCATCCAAACACTTTTCTTTCAATTTTGCTTCTCTCCCTGTATCAAGATCATGTAGATTTGCAAGATTTGAAATGGTTAATATGCCCCTCAAATGATTCAAGGCTCCTATTTCATTTAAACGAGAACCTTCATCTTTTCTCACAAAAAAATGTGTCATTGTTTGGAGATGCTTCAACTTTCCCATATATTTGGGCATCTTTATTATACCACTATTTTCCAAGTCCAGATGACGTAAGTTGATCAATTTGTGTAATTTTGGCGGCAACATTTTCAAATTATAGCAACCTTTCAATTTCAATGTTTGTAGATTGATCATCGAGCACATTGAATTTGGTAACCTTGTAATGGAAGTCTGTGAAAGATCTAAATAACGCAAGTGCTTTAAATTGGTAATACCATTATTTATTTTTTTGACCCGCCAACTTTTTGCCAAAGATAATGCACGCAAAAACTTGAGACGAGCAATTCTAGATAGCATGCTGCCTTTTATTTGAGAACCAAAGTCGAGAAAATTATGTAATTCATGGAACGTGAAAATATCCTCAACATTCTTAATCACTGTTGTAATATCACACGAAAGGTAACGAGTTTTTGCTGGAATTTCATGTGCCCCATCACCTTCTAGATGTAAAGAGAACTCTCCCATGATAGATTTTGCCAAGTCATTCAAAAGGTCATGCATAATGAAGTAATTACCACCTCCTTTTGATGGTTCCAAAATGACCTGGACTCCAAAGCATTGAAGATTTCATTCCCCACTTCTTCAAGGTTCTCTCTTATTTGATTACTTGCATGCAACAAGCCATTTGCCATCCATAATTGGATAAGAACATTCCTGTCAATGTTATAATCTTTAGGAAAGATAGAACAATAAGCAAAACAACGCTTTTGTTTTGAAGGTAGATAATGGTAGCTTAATCTTAAAGATGGGATTATGTTGCTATCATCCTCTGACAAATTCCAAATATCACTCTTCAAAATCTTCTCCCAATCTCTAGGAGATTCTGTACGCAACAAGCATCCCATTGATTTTATTGCTAGAGGCAATCCTCCACACTTCTTGACAATGTCTTCACCAATTTCTACAAGATTTTGATCAGCAACATGATGCTGGTCATTAAATGCATACTTTGCAAATAAATTCCAACAATCATCATGTCGTAATGGCTTCAAATCATATACATTGGTAGAGTGCATGACCTCTGCTACCCTTTTACTACGTGTTGTTACAATAATTTTACTCCCTAAAGAAACATGGTTGAAGGGAGCTTGGAAGACCTCCCAAATTTGATGATTCTCGTTCCAGACATCATCAAGAATGAGAAAAAAATTCTCACCCATCAATTTCTCTTGTAGTTTACGTTGAAGATCACGAAAAGTATCTAATGGGTCAATTAGTGAACAATCAAGCTCTTTGAGAATTGTTTTTATGGATAGGGTGAGATCAAAATTTTCAGAAATACACACCCAAGCTCTATGCTTAAACTGATGCTTCATATTTTTGTCATCGTAGACCAGTCTTGCAAGGGTTGTCTTACCTAACCCACCCGTACCCACAATAGCTACCACGTCCACATGCCGCTGATGATTCTCATTCATGTTATGTGACAATAACATCTCTTTTAGTTTCTCTCTATCAGCATCTCTCCCATATATATTGGATTCATCTATTAAAGACGTTGTTGGCAACCTCTGGAGCCCTTTCCTGCTCACTCCAAGAGGAGTGCCAGCAGGAGGGCCTTGCCTCGATCCAAGTATCTCATTTTGTTTTATGAGATACTCTAGATTCTCAAGTACTTGCTTCATCCTTGACTCCATGTTCTTTTCGAATAGCCTTTGATTAACGATAGCAGTAAAGCAACCTCGTACCTTGCCGGTCAGAGTCTGCGATTCAGCATCCAGTTTCTGTCGCAATGCCTCAGTAGCAATCTCATCGATCAAGTCTTCAGCCTTGAACACTTCGTCCCTGAGCTCGTCAAGCCACTGCTTCACGTTTTGATTTTGATACTGCCTTTCCTCGGCATCTTCAATAACCTGACTCACAGACAGAAGGATGGTACGCAGCTTTTTCATCAAGCCATCCTCGAGCTTCCTGCCATGGAAGAAGTCAAGAACTTCACGAGAAGCCAATTTCTCAAAAGCCACTTGAAGGGAAGAGGACAGCAACGCTCCAGCTAACAACTCAGCAATGTTTTTTCCCTTAGCTAAGAGAAGGAATTGAGCAGCAAAGAAGGAAGAAAATGAGAGAGATGGCAGAAGAAACTGAGAGTGAAGGATATATAGACGGATATCGTTCACTTTGGTTCCAGTAAATAACTCTTAAATTGAAATCCGAGAAAAATATAATTCCAGTAAACAGTCTGGCTGCACATTATATGAAGTATAAAATTTGTAGTGTATAAAATATCATCATGGCTTCGAAAACAGTTCAAAAATTAATATATTCATCAATATCTATATATTAATATAAATAAAAAGAATCTATTAAGTGCCAAAAGAATTGATTGCCCACAATTATTGGGTATTGTGGGGCCAAACTTTTTTATAATGGACAAACATTACACTGTAGTGATTGTGCCTCTCATTTCTCGACTTTTCGTTTTCTTTTCGGTGGGTGGGGATGCATTTGATGCTTTTACAAAATCAAAAGCAGCAACGATGAAATTTCCTTTTTTTTTTCTTTTTTGAAAAAAAAGAAACCCGCGTCAAGCTCCAGATACGCCGTCTCTTATCAACTTTGTTGGATAAAGGAAGGTTTCATATACACCGCCTTATCATGTTCTCTCTTCAATTATTTGACATTTCTTGTCTCTGTGATTAAATGATATTTTGGTTTTATTTTGTCATGTGTGGCATGATAATAAATTTTTATTAGAAATGAAGTCTCTGCTCACCAACTAATATTCTTAGGCCTCAGCGTTTATCTTTAACTAACAACAACAAAAACGTTTATTGTGCGTGTTAATGTGAGATTTGATAAAGTTTAGTGTTTATTATTGAAAACTTGACATAACCTTCTTTCTTTATCTGGAGACTGGCAATAAAATATAGACAGTGTTTGCTTTTAATCTTTAACCAAAAAGGGAAAAAAGTCACCATGAATTGATAATAAACATAAGGTTAGTTTAATCTTACAGGTGGAATTGACCGAACTTCTATGAGCACCTTCTGTTATGAAAAGAGAAGACAACAAAATTAGACTTGCCCCTGCACGTTGCAGTTGATGTTTCAGCGCGTTTGAAAGGAAGAAAAGAAGCAAATATTGTTGTAAAATAAACATATTCAACCATTGTTTCTTTTTCATGCACTTGAAATGTCAATTTTTTAATTACATAGTTATTATAAAATTGAAAATAAGTGAAGTTAAATGTGAAAATTTACTATTACAGATAGTTTATATATAGAGTTAAAGGGAAAAAATATTTCAGAACTTTTTAACAATAAACATCTAGTATTCTAATTTTTTTTTTTGTCAACACAGAATAATTCATGTATATTCTCATTCAACAAATAAGAGAGAGGTCTACCAGCTTAGTCAGCACACTCAAGGACGAGTTATGAAATTATTGGCGGTAGAGCTTCAGCGTGTAAAGATCCTATCCAGTTCAATCCATAAATGGAAGTTTGAAATTCACTTAGAATATTCTATTTAATTTTTATTTCTTTTCATTTAAACAATTGAGCAACAACAATATCGATGTTAAATTGATCAATGATCAATGTTCACTTTGCTTTTCTTGGAAATGATAACGAAGTGAGTCGGGACATAACAAAGTACTCTCCGTTTCCTTTTTATTCTTTTTAATCAAGTTTATAGTGTTGGATGATTGTATCTATTGATTAGATAAAACAATTTTTTATATGTTTTAAGTCTAATTAAGGCATGATGATTTTTTTCTTCCACCGATTAACAACATATTTTTAACTTTAAAATTACACATTCAAATTGAAAATAAGAGTCACGTTTGGGATTTTAAACTGCACCATATACCACATGTCTTTGAAGTCGAATAATGTGTCTGGTTATATATTTTGAATTTTATATTGATATAAATGAAATTTCAATTTTAAAAAACTTAAAAATAAATTAAAAAATAATGTAATTTTTCATTTAAAAAATTTACATATACATTTTAAAAAATAGAAAGCTATACAATTGCAATAAATTTTGAAAAACTGATAGTACAACTTCACTCTTTTTATTTCTACGCTCTATTGAAATATATCATATATATATATATATATATATATATTCCAATACATGCATCCCAACATGAACCTACCTTTTTATTTTTGGCTGATCTATTTGAATTGTTCTTTTGACAGTAACAATATCATTTTCTAGCTCAACTCAAAATGGCAGAGGCAATATCCACACTATATCTATGCTTTACAAGAATCACCACTTAGATTCACTTGATCGGTTCTTTAAAATTAAATTCTTAACTAAGATACACTTCACAGTGCACTTGACAATTTGTGATTTGGACAAATAAAATAAATTTTGAATAAGAAAATATCATTATCCACTTAATTGCATTGTAAAAAAAAGAGAACGGTACCTCTAAATTTTATTAACAAACCCTCGTTTATGGTGGAAGAATACTGTGGTTACAATAAAAATTAAAAAATCACAAAACAAAAAGAAAATGCACAAACTATGACCTAGGACCCATATACCTGGACATCTGACCTGTGACCTTATCATGACCATGATTCTTAAAAACACACAATTCAAATTATAACATCTTCAATCATACAATAACATAAGATAAAGATTGTAATAACCTACTCACTAAAATCTACTTTACCTTCTAACATTGGAGAGACTCATCTAATGTATCTTCATGACAGCTCGCCACGTGATTTCTTTTCTTGTAGTAGCCGTAGATGGCAAAGATTTTCACTTGATAAGTTATTATTCTAAAGGCCAAACAAAAATTAGGGCTGTGGTAAAGAGAAACAAATCTTAGGACAATGACAAATATGAAAGGAAGAATGTTTAATTCCTAACCAAATTTCTTCTTCATTTAATTATTTCAATTTACGCTTCTAATTCATTCTTTCCATCATTCCTCTAAGACGTTTCCTTCTTCAAACTCTTGGAAATCTTCAAGCTGCTCTGCAAGTGAGAGGGGCAAGCCTTAAGTTCTAGGAAGATTCATTGTTAAACGCCAAGAGATATACTCTAAGCTGAATATTTAGTAGAAAAAATAATCAATTTGATTGTGCCTTTTTTCCTGAACATGTATCGAAGAATGGGTTTCATTGTGTGACAAAAACAACATTGAATGATATTTAATGTTGGTCATCCCTGCGAAGGAACATATAACCTGGTATTGACTACAACATATAAAAGTTACATCAAAGTGTGTAAGCAGAGCAACAAAACAGGGGATGTAATTCTTTCTAAAAGATCAGCATCTTCAACGTCTGAATGAGTCATTCATTTATGTAATATGACAGCAAAATACTATTTGTTTATTCATATATAAATGTAGCCAATACATAACCAGCAAAACAAAGTAAGAGATAAACAAACTAACTTGGGCCTTTTTTGTTATAGAATGAGGATGCATAGACAATTAATATAATGAACATGTAGCCAGCAAAAAATACCTTTAAGTCACAACCTAAAGGGCACACCTTCAAGAAAAACGTGCATATATATGTATATATGTATATGTTATAGTTTACATATAGATTTGCCATTAATCTGTGTGAGAGTTAATTAATTTTGTATCCATTTTTCATAATATTATGCATGGATAAGATATATTATGGTGAATTCCTATCTCTCTCTCTAAAAGAGAAATTTTTAGATAGATCGGGTGTATCATATCATTTATAATTTGTCCAGTTAAAATTCCCCAAGTCATTTAAAAAAATCATACATGACATTATTTTAGCTGATTTTATAATACATATTTAATTTTTTTGCTTTGTCCCTCTACTGTCATTAATATCATAACCAATTTATATTTAATAATATTTGAATGTCATGTTTTTATTGATTAGACCTAAAGTCGAAAATAAGAGTCGGGCCTAAAAAATCGGGTCTAAAAACTCTATTTAAATGAGAGTTCAAGTTTTAAAAATTAAATTTTTTTTAAAGTAATCAAGTTTGATGGTTTACTTTTAATAAACTTTATAAAAAAAAAGTTTGAGTTTGATTAACTCTTCAAGCTCTGAGATAATGTTTGAGTGATGTGTATGAATTTGCTTGTCCGGAAACAAATATACACAACGAACTTGGCTTAAATTGTCGGTCGATAATACATAATAAACAGTCTGTATATTATATAAATTGTAAAAATTTATAATATATAAATTAAAATATCATCATGGCTTTCACCAGTATCTATTTATTAATATAAATAAAAAGAATCTATTAAGTGCCAAAAGAATTGATTGCCCACAATTATTGGGTATTGTGGGGCCAAACTTTTTTATAATGGACAAACATTACACTGTAGTGATTGTGCCTCTCATTTCTCGACTTTTCGTTTTCTTTTCGGTGGGTGGAGATGCATTTGATGCTTTTACAAAATCAAAAGCAACAACGATGAAATTTCCTTTTTATTTTATTATTATTATTTTTTTTTTTAAGAAACCCGTCAAGCTCTAAAGACGTCGCCTCTTATCAACTTTGTGGATAAGGGAAAATTTCATATGCGCTACCTCATCATGTTCTCTCTTCAATTATTTGACATTTTCCGTCTCTGTGATTAACTGATATTTTGGTTATATTTTGTCATGTGTGGTATGATAATAAATTTTTAATAGAAATGAAGCTTCTGCTCACCAACTAATATTCTTAGGCCTCAGCTTTTATCTTTAACTGACTAACAACAACAAAAACGTTTATTGTGCGTGTTAATGTGAGATTTGATAAAGTTTTATGTTCATTATTGAAAACTTGACATAACCTTCTTTCTTCATCTGGAGACTGGCTATAAAATACAGACAGTGTTTGCTTTTAATCTTTAACCAACAAGGAAAAAAAGTCACTGTGAATTGATAATAAACATAAGGTTAATTTAATCTTACAGGTGAAATTGACTGAACTTCTATGAGCACCTTCTGTGATGAAAAGAGAAGACAACAAAATTAGACTTACCCCTGTACGTTGCAGTTGATGTTTCAGCGCGTTTGAAAGGAAGAAAAGAAGTAAATGTTGTTGTAAAATAAACATATTCAACCATTGTTTCTGTTTGCACCTAAATTATAAATTTAGAGGATCAAGCTTAACTTAATTTAATTAATTTTAAAATAATTAAATAAAATATTTTTAAAGTTTTAATCATTAAGTCAAGACCATTCGCACTTCACTTATAATAAGTGACAATGATAGAGGAAGTGCTTTCTAAATTTAAGAAAATTAGCAATCATGGGGTCTGGGCACTAAGTTAAGATCATCTATAAATAAAGGAGTCCTTTCTTAACAATAATCATCATCAACATCAACAAACTATCAGTCTCAGACTCTGTGTTTGCTATTTTATTTTTTCTTTTATTATGTGGTTTTAGTCTTTATTTTCTATTATACAGTCGACATAGCCCGCCACTTCTTTTTTTTAATTAATGTATCTCTACTTTCCTGTATTTACATTAATTTTCTTTACTTCGCATTCTCACATTCGGATGAATTGTAGAAAGGGAGCCTGGGTTCCCCATGTTTGAATAGAAATAAGATTCTTTCATCATTTTAAAATCTCATGTCTCTAACACATCTCATGATACCACGCCTAATTGATTGTTTTTTATGAATAGTTTCTTTTTCATGCACTGAAAATGTCAATTTTTTAATTATATAGTTATTATAAAATTGAAAATAAATGAAGTTAACAGATAATTTATACATAAAGTTAAAGGATAAAAATATCTCAAATTTTTTTAACAATGAACATCTAATATTCTAAACCTTTTTTTGTCAACACAGAATAATTCATGTATCTTCTCGTTCAACTAATAAGAGAGGTCTACCAGCTTAGTCAACACTCTCAAGGACGAGTTATGAAATTATTGGTGGTAGAGCTTCGCTGTGTTATAATTGTTTAAATAAAAATTATAATTAATTATTTTTAAAACTTAAACTTTAATGATAAAATAATTTTTATATAAAAAGTTATGATTTCTTATTCAATATTTACAATTCACAAAATAAAAATTGTGATTGCTTAAATTGATTTTTTTTAGAACATGATTGAATATTGAATCAAAAAGATTAACAGTTCACGGTTCGCATGGCCGCATCGGGTTAGACTAATAGTCAAACTGATAACGTAATAATTAAATAAAAATTATATTAAATGTATATATAAAATACATATAAGAAAAAAATTTATAACATGTTAATAAAATGACATAACATGACTATAAATTAATAATATTATACATTATAATTTATAATTTGTTAAATATAGGTGGATCTTAGTTAAATTAAATATGAGTAGATCCAAAAGTATGTGTATTTGTATCTATAATTGTCAACATATTTATAAAAAATGATCTCAAATCATATTATATACATGTGAATTGTTCAAAAATAAAGTTACTTTTTAGTATGATCTAATTTTAAATTTTTCTAGTTTTTTTAATATTATGTTTAAAATCATCTAGTTTTCTAAAAGTTATTTTGGTTTCCAATTCAATTCTAGTTTCCAAGTCAATAGCGGCTTAACTTTGATCCAATATGGTTCAATCATGAAAATAGTTTTTTAGTTCAAACTGAGTCGTTAATGGCTCCAATCGATGGTTCAACTGTCCAGTTTTTAAATCATCATCTTAAACAAAAGTTTAGATTGATTATTTTCATAACTTAAACTTCAATGATATAAAAAAATTAAGTTGTAACTTTTTGTTTAATTTTTATGATTAATTGAATAAAAGTTGTAACCAGTCATTTTAAATAAGAAACAATTTAGTCATTTAATATAAGATTATTAATATTAGAAAGGTACATAGAGATTTGAGAGGAATTATGTTATTTTAAAGAACATGATTGTCATTTATGTATTTTAATAGAATTTTATTGTCATTATTTTATTTTATTTGAATGATAGTAAATTAAAACTCTCTGAAATAGAAACCCAATATAATGTTTAAGGGCAATTTACCAAGTACCTTAAGTTCCAGTCTTTTTATACTAATGCTACGATTTTGGATCTCAATTTTCATGCCAAGATCAAAAGAATTCAAAGAATGACAGTTAAATTGTAAAAGATGAGATTTATTAATTTAAATTAAGTCTCAAGTAATTTTAATATACTAACAAAGTCTTAATCTTTTTGTATTAATAAGTTTCACAACTCTATAAATTTGCAAGTTTGGATATTAATTTTACAATTTTTTGTAATAAATTTATAATTTATTTTTAAAAGTTTAACTAATTACACAAATCTTCATCTTTGATCTTGAAAAGCATTAAATTTAATCATTCCACTAATATGTAAATTCAACTCTTGATTTTGCAACTTCTTTTTGATGTATTTATAACTTATTTTTTAAATTTTAATTAAGAATACAAATGTTCATCATTGATGTTGAAAAATATTAAGTCTAAATAACTCTATTATCTATTGTTTATTATTTATTTTTCAATCCTATGAAAATTTAAAAAATAAATTTTAAATTCATTACAATAAAATTATAAAATTAAAACTAAACTTGCAAATATCTGAAGCTATTAAATTTATTGCCACTAAAAATTAAAGAACTTTGTTAGCACTTTAAAATTTATTAAAATTTAATTTAAATTAATCAATTTTTTTTAAAACTTGTCATTCTCATAAAAATATTTTTTAAAAAAATTATATTGAAGACTTATATAAAAAAATAATTATCATAAAGTTAATAATCATAAAAATATTTTTTTAAAAATTTTATTAAAGTCTTACATAAAAAAATTATTTATTATAAAGTTAATAATTTTAGTTGAATCGTTGATAAACTTTATAACAATTAAATTTTTTTTGGTAGGAATCCTGCATATAATGCTCCCAAAAAATTTTATCAAGAAGAAATTGTGTCAAGAATATAGACCGAGTTCTGTAAAAGAAAACACTTTTGCACGAAATGCAATTAATGCAGACAACTACTAGTCTGGCATGGAGCAGTTATCCTATTATTAATGATTTGAAACTATCTACTCATTGTACTGTTAGAAATAGAATATCCGACATTGGAGTAATGTGGCCACGCCTGCTAACTTTGCGAACGAGGGACGGATTGATGCAGCCTCTCACCGCCGGGTTGGTTGGTTCTTTAATTTGCAATTAATCTGAAACGGAAACTGGATGTACAATATGCAAAAATACTGTACTCCGTCCTGTCTTCCGATTATAAAATATCGTTTTAAAAACATTGATAGTTCTCAATAAAAAATATATAAACTTTAATATTTCAATTTATATAAATTAAATAAAATTTAAATAAAATAATATACATACTTAAAGAATTCATAATCGATTATAATAACTCGATTACCTTAAGTATAGATAAAAGCACAATCCACTAAATCCTATAGTTTGTAGAGAGTTTAAAGACAATAAAGAAAGTGAAAACTATCGTGTTTTGTGGTTATTGACTGATTAATATATATAGACTAGATTAATAACCACTATAATAATAAATTAATTAATTATATTTTATTATCTTTAATTCAGTTAGTTAAAAGATAAGGAATAATTGACATTTACAAGGTTGTACGTTAAGCCTTTACCCATTAGATTCACTTGTGTGATCCACCTATTATGGTCCACATAAGATCATAAAAGCCAATATGTTTGGACTTATTAATTAATGTAAATTTATAAATAAATACTCCAACAATCTCCCACTTGGATTACATTAATTACGCAAGTTGTATAAACAAGTCACAAACAAAATTTAAAAAATGAAACTTTACAAAATCACTGGATCCTATGAGAAAACAAGTGATATAATGTCTCATAATCTGAATTGAATAGAATATGAAATTTTTCTCATTCCAAATACAATTCAGTGAGATAACAACATAAGATCACTGATTTTTATGGGAAAACAAGTGACATATATAGTGTACCACAATAAAATCATTGAATTTTATGGGGATACAAATGATATAGATGCATCTCATTGAACTAAACATAGAATAGGTTTTTTTACCACAACTCAGTAAAGAAACAACACAAAGTCATTTAATCATAAAGGAAAATAAGTGACACAAGGTGCTCTAATACAAATGATTGAATCATATGGGGAGACAAATGATACAAGGCACCATAAATCTCTGAACCTAGATTGAAACTCAATAGAGAAAAAATACAAGATCACTAAATCCCGAGAGGAAACAAGTGATACAGGATGCATAAACACAAATCATTGAATCCTATGAAAAAAATAAATGATATAAAGCATCTCATTGTTTTTTAAACAAGAACTAAGCATAATAGCAAAATAGCCTTAAACCATCAAATATCTTTTAAAGGACACAACTCAAACTCTCATTGAATCAAGGCTATATCAAAAAGATCAATAACACTTACATGGGTAAGCCTTTGGTCTTTTACATGCATAAACATACATTTACCACAGAAGTGAATCAGATAAGTTTGAGTGTCTATATTTTTCTCCAACAAAATCTTTGAGAGAAGTTCAAGGTAGACAAAATATCACATTAATAGTTAGAGGAATAACAAAATAAATGTCCAATAATACTATCCTCAATTATATAACCTAATAAAAGGCTTTACAACAAGTGAATATAATTATATATATATATATATATATATTCCACATTCTAAATTGAGGTAGCTATGAAAGTCTATAATACACTCATTTTTACAAGATAGCTCCTCTCTATATTATGAAATACATAGAATGAACATTCTAAATCCTCATAGTCACAAATTTAAAAGAGGATCAATTTTTTTAACAACCAACATTAGGTGTCATATACCTTTCAGCATACAAGAATTTTTTAAAATGATCTTAGTATTTTCTTGCTAGTATTTTGCAAGTATTTACCAAGGGGTACACGAAGTAAAATCTAGATCAAGGACTAACGTATATTTTAGTATCCTTAGAGTCATTCATGGCGGAAGTGTACAAAATTCTTTTATATGCAAATTTTAAAATAGTCTTCCTCAATATTAATTTTAAGAATGTGAAAACTTAAGCAACCTTATACCCTTTTAAACAGGAATCAAACTAGGAATGTGTATTAAATTTCATGTATTAAATTTCTAAACACTCAATTAAAATAAGTTGCTTGAGACAAATCAAGGTTATAATTAGACATATTTAAATGGATATTAATTCTTAAATAAATATGTCAGATAGAAAATTTATATCAAAGTGGCACAATCACAGGTATGTTGTCTCGTTCATTTTGAAGTTCATGCAAACTGAGCAATCCATTGCTAATTACTAATTACAGCTAATATTATATGAATTATTATATGTGTCCGCATGCTTTAGAAGACGAGTGGATGCTGAACAGGTACTTGAAATGATCATCCTCCTTCATTTCCCCCTAGTTTAGATATGCTTAAGAAGACAAATATTGAAACCTTTAGCTCCAAGAAACTAGACTGTTTAAAACACCGAGTGAGACATGCTCTCATTTGAAGAGCATCTAAAGATAACATGGGCATGTTTGAATTCTGTCTCATTTTTTGTTTTTAAAAATGTTTTGTAATATATTTTTTATAATTATTTTTTAAAACAGAACAAAATGAAAAATATGCTTGACTATATTAATTTAAAAACAGTTTTAAAATTAAAAAAATGTATCAATAGTAATGATTGTAGGTAGTTAATGGTAGTGATTTATGATAGAAATTTGTTAAACTAATGATATTTTCTAGTAATCAAATTTAGTGCGTTTTTAAAACAAGAAAAATAAAATGAAATAACTTTAAGATGTTTCCATTTTTTGTTTTAAAAATATAAAATGAAAATAATTTTGAAAACAATTAAATCAAAAACTCTAATCCAAACAATTTTTTCAATTTTTTATTATTAAAAATAGAAAATAATTTTAAAACTAGAAACCAAACATATCCTATGTTTCATTGTATGTGATGTGTTAGAATATGTGAGTATAAAAGAACCAATTTTAGATGATATTGTTTTCTATGCTTCTCAATCTCATAGCAGTTGCAAATAAGTCAGGAATTACCATTAAACTATTATCCATGTGGCATTAGGTACACTTCATAATGCATAATGCATATGACAATTGGTGATTTGAAGAAATGGAATATACTTTAAATAAGGAAACCTTATTTTCTACTTAATCGTGTCACTAAAGGAAAGAGGACAGTGCCTCTAAATTTTATTAATAAACCCTCACTTATGGCGGAGGAATACCGTGGTTACATTAAATATTGAAAAAAAAAGAAAAAAAAAATGTACAAGCCACAACTTAGGATCCTTCTATCTATACACCTAACCTCTAACTTCATGACCACGATTCATAGAAACACAATTCTAATTTATAAAATTTTTAGTCTTACAATAAGATAAAAGAAAAAGATTATAAAAACTAAAAACAGAAGTAGAATAGAAAAAAAAAAAAATACCAACTCACTAAAAATCTATTTTGCCTTCTAACAACAAGGAGACTCTTCCGATGTATAGTCATGTACCTTTTGACTATTGACATTGTTGAAATTTCTGAAAAATTCACATTTTTTTCTTTCTCATTCCTTTGTTGAGTTGATGCTCATCAACTAACTTCTTTTCTTGTAATAGTCATGATGCGAAGGCTTCCAAGTTATTATTCTATATGCCAAACAAAAACTAGAGTTGTAATCTGGGAGAAACAAATCTTATCCCAATAACAAATTTGAAAGGAGGATGCTTCCTCACCAAATTTCTTCTTCATTTAATTATTTAGTTTACACTTCTAATTCATTCTTCCACTCATTTCTCTAAGATGCTCCCTTCTTCAAACTGTTTGAAAATCTACTAGCCGCCCTGCAAACGAAAATCCTTAATTTCAAGGAAGATTCATTGTTAAACATCAAATGGGATATGTTCTCAATTGAATATTTAATAAAAAAATAATATATTTGATTGTGCTTTTTCCTGAATATGCATAGAAGAAAAACAGGGCATGTAATTCTTTCAAATGAATCTAGACTAGTATAGCTTCAATATATCACTAAAGATCAGCATCTTCAACATCCGGATGAGTCATTCATTTCTGTGAGGTGTCAGTAAAATACTATTTCTTTTTTCATATATAAATGAAGCCAACATAACAATGTGAGAGTTGATTAATCTTGCCCTGTCTCTCTTGGAGAACCATTGCTAAAGTAATTGACAATTCAAAGAAAAGTTAAAACACTAAATCAATAATAATTACACCAATATATATTATCAAATAAGGAAGGAGGGTCATGAGAATACCAAATAGAGCCTAGTTGAGACATATTATGAATTGCACTAAGAAGTGATAATATAATTGATATGTTTTGAGCAGGCCACTGCCTCATAAGATAAATATATATATATATATATATATATATTAACACATACTATAACCACTAAAACCTGTTTATGTTCCAAAAAAAATCAACTAATGAGTCCATGTGCAATTCAAGTGACGCAGCATTGGTGAGAGTGAGAATAAGGAGATACATACATATGGGGCCTTCAGGGGATGTTTTCAAGTGTTGCCTCTGCAAAACATTGTTTATTTAATTATTAATAATTCTACACACTATATATATATATATATATATAACCAGAGAAAAGAAATGGAAATTCGAGAAGATTTAGGTCAATGAGAATAATGTAGGTATAGGAAGTACCTTCACGAAGTAGCTCTTCGAATTTGCAAATTGAATGTAGGCTTTGAAATCTCAAACTAATGCAAGATTAGGCTGAAGAAAAATCTTTCGATGTTATTTCTCTTAAAAAAATAAAATAACAATTAATAAAGGCACGCAATTACTATGCATTTGTTGTAAGAGGAGAGATTGACTTTAGCATATGGAAGAGAAGACAGGAATAGAAAAGACTTTTTTATTCTTTTTTTATAGATAGGAATATATTTAAAGATAAGATAAAATATTAAAAAGGGAAATCAATATCAGCATTTTGTTGAGTAATATGTAAAAGGCCATGCATGAGAGAACTTGATGTATGCATTCCAATCATGTGTAAAGCCTCAGTGTTTGACCAGAATGACCTTTATAGCCTTAAAAACCAGTATTGATGTGCCTCCACCAACATATATTGAATTTTGAAAAATCTGGTCTAATTAACACCCCCAAAATAATAATTAAAAAAGCTTGGTTTGTTCTCATAATCAGTGTCTGTGTTGATATATATATGCACACACATACATATATATGCGCCCGCTCTCTCTCTCTCTCAAGAAAACAAATACTGAAACCTTGAGTCCAACGTTAAGTGAGGCGTGTTCTCATCCGAATGATAAACGAAGATAATTAATATATTTGCATTTTTCGATGAGCTAAAATACGGACATGTATATGGAAGAAATCATTTTATTGTGCGTCCAAATTAAAACAACATTCACGGATGTATACTTGCAGGAACATGTGAACTGGAATTGAGCCAGAACAACCATACTTTAATATGATTCAATTCTTCATGAACTAACAGGCGCACTTGCTTACTTATAGAATTAACATAATCTATTTAAAAAACGACAGATAAAATGTTTAAGCATCAGGAAATTAAAGTAATGCAAAACAACATTTTGAGAAGAATCAATTACCAATACAACAGAACAGCTTGCTATTTCTGCTTAAAATAGGGTGCGGTCCTTCGTCCTCTCTTTGACGAAATACCTTGAAGCCTTCAGGCAATGTTCCCAAGAGAAGAGAGGTCTCTGCAAATTATTATTTTTTATATTTAATTGTGAGGGAAAATTGAATGGGACTTTTCGACAGAAAATGAGGGAGTATGATGAATTCTAAACATGCAGATCAAATGTAGAGAAAACAACTTCAGCAACATGTGAAGTTATGAAGCAGTTCTCATGAGCCTTTGCTATTAGAAAATGCTTGATTGAAAAGCGCAGCAAGTTTCTAGAGCGAAATTGTTGTCTTGTGTTATGGACAAAAAAATTACCAGATAAGCTAGAAGTTGTTGAGTGAATAGATGAAGGCAGGAAATTAAAATTACCAGATACAAAAATACATGGATGTAATTTACAAAACGTACCTTTAAATAGAGAATTACATATGTGCTGTTGTTTATCATATTTCGATGTGAGGGATGTGAGAAATTTTGGGCCAATCTGGTCCTGTCTCCCTTTCACACCGCTGCTTAAGCAATGGACAATCATAAATATATAAATGGAACAGGGATCTGGGTAAGCCTTGCTCTGGCATGTCTTGGAAGCTTAGACTTTGGCAGCTAGAAAACTCTAAGGATGTAAGAGAATGGAGGTGGAGAAGGCCCCTGTAATTTATCGTTTTTAAATATGAGCATTCGTAAAATGAAAGAGAGTGGAGATTGGGTGGCAGCAGTCCTTCCTCTGGGAAGGATTGCACATCTTCAAAGTCATCACTAACTACAAGTTCTTTCAAATATAGCAGCCCATGCAAACCCCAATCCTTGCGAGAAGCAATCACTTTTGGGCAGTTCAAAATGTCAAGACGATGTAGATGTGAAAGCAAACCTCCTTGGGGAAGTGATTCCATATCTAGACAACTGTCTAAAGTTAGGCCATGAAGAGGTGGAAGCATTTCTGTGGAGCTCCATGTCGGCATGTGCTTCATAGAAATCTTCTCACACTTGTCTAAAACTATCTCTTTGAGGACAGAGGACTTAGGAAGTGAAGTCTCCAGATTTAGGCAAGAATGAATATCTAGTTTTTTTCAAAGAAGGAAGGTGCTGAGGTAGGGACGTTGTCAATTTTAAGCAACCAAGTAAGCAAAGTTCTTCAAGGCATGGGAAACTGGCACCCTCATCCCATTCTTCCCATTCTTTCAACTCTACAAAACTTAAATATGTAAGAGATTGAAATGGAGCACTTGAGGAGGCATTCCCATAAAACTCTTGGCCGATCACCTTTATTCCATCAAATCCCTCAATTTCGAGTCTCTTGAGGAAAGGTAGTTGCCCTAGCATTGGCAAGCTCTCACAGTTTGTACAATATGCCAAACGTAAAGACACTAAATTGGATAAATGAGGATCAACAAGCCACTTCGGAAACTGAGCACCCCCATACCATGTAACAGTGAGCTCTTTTAAGCTACAATTTGGCTCCAAAGCCTCCAATACTTGCTCTTGTTTTTGTGCCATTTCACGGCTTACCACTCGTCCCCAACTTAAATTCAATTTATCCAAACACTTCTCTTTCAATTTTGCTTTTCCCACTGTATTAAGATCACATTCATCCGCAAGATCTAAAATGTTTAATGTGCCCCTTAAATGGTTCAAGGCTCCTATTTCATTTAAACCAAAACCTTTATCTTTTCTCACAAAAAAGTGTGTCATTGTTCGGAGATGCTTCAACTTTCCCATATGTTTGGGCATCTTTATTATACCACTATCTTTCAAGTCCAGATGACGTAAGTTGATCAATTTGTGTAACTTTGGCAGCAACATTCTCAAATTAAAGCAATATTGCAATTTCAATGTTTGTAGGTTGATCATCAAGCACATTGAATTTGGCAACCTTTCAATGCTAGTATTTGACAGATCTAAATAACGCAAGTGCTTTAAATTGGTGATATCATTACTTAACCTTGTAATCTCCTTATTTTTTGCCAAAGATAATGCACGCAAACACTTAAGACGAGAAAATCTAGATAGCATACCGTCGTTTATTTGAAAAACAAAATCATCTCTAAAGTTAAGAAAGTTATGCAGTTCTTGGCACGTGAAAATAACATCAAAATTCTCTATATTTGCTACCTGTGAAAGGTAACGCGTTTTTGCTGGAATTTCATGTGCCTGATCACCTTCTAGATGTAAAGAGAACTCTCCCATTACAGATTTTGCCAAGTCATTCAAAAGGTCATGCATCATGAAGAAATTACCACCTTCTTTTGATGGTTCCAAAAATGATCTTGACTCCAAAAAATTGAAAATTTCATTCTCTTGTTTCATTACTAGAATGCAACAAGCCCTCTGCCATCCATAATTGGATAAGGACATTCTTGTCAATGTTATAATCTTTAGGAAAGATAGAACAATAAGCAAAACAACGCTTATGATTTGAAGGTAGATAATGGTAGCTCAATCTTAAAGATGGGATTATATTGCTATCATCCTCTGACAAATCCCAAAAATTACTCTTCAAAATCTTCTCCCAATCTTGAGGAGATTTTGTGTACAAAAGGCATCCCATTGATTTTATTGCCAGAGGCAATCCTCCACACTTCTTGACGATGTCTTCACCAATTTCTACAAGATTTTGATCAGCAACATGATGCTGATCATTAAATGCGTACTTTGCAAATAAATTCCAACAATCATCATGTTGTAATGGCTTCAAATCATATACATGGGTAGAGTGCATGACCTCTGCTACCCTTTTACTACGTGTTGTTACAATAATTTTACTCCCCAAAGCAACATGGTTGAAGGGAGCTCGGAAGACCTCCCAAATTTGATGATTCTCGTTCCAGACATCATCAAGAACGAGAAAAAATTTCTTACCCATCAATTTCTCTTTTAATTTCTGTTGAATATCATCAAAATTATCTGATAGGTCAATTGGAGGACAATCAAGTTCTTTGAGAATTGCTTTGGTAGCTTGAATGTGATCAAAACTTTCAGAAATACAAATCCAAGCTCTTTTCTCAAACTGATCCTTCATGTTTTTGTCATCAAAGACCAGTCGCGCAAGGGTTGTTTTACCTAACCCACCCATACCCACAATAGCTATCACGTCCACATGCCGCTGCCGCTGATTATTCTCATTCATGTTATGTGACAATAAAATCTCTATTATTTTCTCTCGATCAACATCTCTCCCGTACACATTGGATTCATCTATTAAAGATGTTGTTGGCAATCTGTGGGGCCCTTTCCTGTTCACTCCTTGCGGAGTGCCAGCAGGAGGGTCTTGCCTCAATCCAGGTATCTCATTTTGCTTGAGATATTCTAGATTCTCAAGCACATTCTCGATCCTTGACTCTATGTTCTTTTCAAACAGCGGTTGATTAATGAAAGCAGAAAGCAGCATCGTACCTTGCCGGTCACAGTCTGTGATTCAACATCTAGTTTCTGTCGCAATGCCTCAGTAGCAATCTCATCGATCAAGTCTTCAGCCTTGAACACTTCGTCCCTGAGCTCGTCAAGCCACTGCTTCACGTTATGATTTTGATACTGCGTTTCCTCTGCATCTTCAATAACCTGATTCACGGACAGAAGGACAACACGCAGCTTTGTCAGCGAGCCATCCTCGAGCTTTCTCCCATGGAAGAAGTCAAGAAGTTCACGAGAAGCCAATCTCTCACACGCCACCTGAAGGGAAGAGGACAGAAACGCTCCAGCCACCAGCTCAGCCATGTTTTTTCAGTAAGAGCCTGCAGAAGGTATAAAGAGAACGAAGGAAGAAAGTGAGGATGGTGAACGCTTTTCACGGCGAGTGGTTTATATAGAAGAAAGTCTCACTTAGGGTGGTTCAAGAAATTACTCTTGAATTGAATTCCGAGATACTGCTTTTGCTTTGTGATCGTACATGCGAATTTACTTTTCTATAAAGACTTCTCAAAAGTAAAATAGATGGTGCCAACTGCCAGTGGCGCGGCAACTACTACTTTGTTTGTGCCTTATCTTATTTTATTTTAATGATAGTAAACTAAAACTCTCTGAAATTGAAACCCGAGATAATGTTTGAGGGTAATTTACCAAGTACCTTAAGTTCCAAACTTTTTATAATGGTACTACGATTTTAGATCTCATTTTCTATACCAAGATACAAAAAATTTGGAAGAATGACAATTAAATTCTAAAAGGATTAATTAATTTAGCTTAAGCCTTAATTAATTTCAGTGCATTAACAAAGTCTTTTAGTCTTTTAGCAGTAATAAGTTTCACTCAGAGATTCACAAGTTTGGATATTAATTTAAAAAAATTAATTATTTGATCCTCATAGTTTTGATTCAATTGTAACTTAATTTTTTAATTTTGACTCGTTGTAACTCTGTCTCTAAAGTTTTAACTCGCTTATAAATTATTCCTTGAACTTTACTTTTTACAAATTAGTATTTGAAGTTTTAACTTCTTAAATATTGATTTCTATATTTTAAGAAATAAAATTATAAAGATTAAAAATATTTTAAACTTGTGATATTTATAATATTTATAAAGATTAAAAGGATTTAATAATTTAAAATATTAGTAATAAATTTTAAAATATTTTTAATCTTTATAATTTTATTTTTAAAATATAGGGATTAATATTTAAGAGGTTAAAACTTTATGGACTAAATTACAAGAGACAAAGTTCAAGAGTTGATTTATAAGTAAGTTAAAACTTCAAAGACTAAGTTAAAATGAGTTAAAGTTGAGAGACTGAGTTACAATTAGGTCAAAATTATAAGGACTAAATGATTATTTTTTTTTTATTAATTTTATAATTTTGTTGTAATGAATTTATAATTTATTTTTAAATTTTAACTAGATACAAAAATGTTACTTTTTAATATTGAGAAGTATTAATTTTAATTAATTTAAAAATTTATAAATTTAATTCTTAATTTTATAACTTTATTACAATACATTTACAAATTATTTTCTAAATTTTAATTGAGAATATAAATGTTCATAGTTAATGTTGAAAAATATTAAATCTAAATAGCTCTATTGTCTATTGTTTATTTTTTATTTCTCTATTACCTATTTTTAATTTTTTAATCCTATTAAAATTTAAAAAATAAGTAATAAATTTATGACAATAAAATTATAAAATTAAAAATTGAATTTGTAAATTTTTAAAGCTATTAAACTTATTATATTTAAAAAATCAAACTATTTTATTAGCATTTTAAAATTGATTAAAATTTAATTTAAATTAATTGATCTCTTTAAAATTTGACTGTCGTTCTACCACCAAAAAAAAAAAAACTTTACCTGAAAGAAGGTGTCAAGAATATAGACCGAGTTCTGTAATTAATGCAGACATCTACTAGTCTGTTATGTGGTAGTTTATCTTATTAATGATGATTTGAAACTACATCCTCCTAGAAATTGAATATCCGACATGGGAGTAATGTGGCCATGCCAGCCAGTTACTTGTGAACGAGGGACAGATTGATGAAGCATTTCATCACTATTCACTGAATGAATTGGTTGGTTCTTTAATTTGCAGTTAATCTGAAACTGAAACCGGAGGTACAATATGCAAAAATATAGTTCTCCCTCCTGCCGTCCGATTATAAAGCATCTTTTTTCAAAAAAAAAAATGATGGCTCTTAATATAAAATATTTTGTGAGATATTAACTACATTTTTTTAATATTATTTATATTTAAACTATTAATAATAAAATAAAATATAATATAAATTTAAAATTTTTATTTAAATATAGACAAAATTAAAGGTTCCACTGAGGTGATCATACTTCTTTCAAACAAAGTTAAATAATTTAATCATATCTTCTTGTTTCAATGGCGTGATTGTAGGGGCCTAATAATAAGAATATGAGATAGCATTTTTTTTTAAGTCTTATTTATAAATTATTTCAAACTAACATATCAAAATCAAGAAGGCACAGTTATATTATCAATGTTATCTTAAAAGAAAAAGAAATTTATCAATTTACCTTGCTTAAATACATTATTTTAAAAACACTTTCTCTCCCCTTTAACTTTTTAGAAAAAATAACAATCAAGGACTACTAGATAAAATTTATATCAATTAAAGATAAATAGATTTTAAAATTACACTGTAATTTCTTACTTTTTGACTAATATTAATTTTTTATGTGAGATAACCAAATTGCCTATAAAGTTTAAAATAAAAAAGCCACCTTACTATCATTGGCGGTGACCACTAAACCACCATCAGAACCCTTAGCAGCGAATAGGTCACCAAAGCCCCTACCACCGACAGGGTTGCAAGCAGCCAATCATCAAAGCTTTAATACCAACAACACTTTTATTCAAAATAATTAGTAAAGGCAATTAAGGGAGGATTTAATCTTATGGCTCCTTAGCCACCTAAAAAGTTTGGTGGCCAGTGGCCATTAGGCGCCACCAAACCTTTCAATTATATGTGACAAAAAAAAAAATATAAGTAGAAAACTAAATTTCTAGCTACTTATATATTATAATATAATGGTGTGTTGTTAATTCTTGAATTTATTATTTTACTAATGTTACTAGCTAATCTGACATGAACAATCACAAATTAAGAGTTTTAAAAACTTCATACATTTTATTTGTTAAATGTTTGAATGTATTGTTGTTAACTTTGAATAAGTTATTAAAATTCAATGAATACTCGTTAATAAAAGATTAACATGTACAATTAAGTACATCATATCAATTTTCTAATTTATTAAAACCTAAATAGATTGTTATTAATTTTGAATGAATTGTTGTGAAACATAAATATAACATGTTAATAAAGGACTAACACTTATATGATTAAACCCATCTCATCCGTTATTTTAACTGTTTAAAACTTGAATGAATTATTATTAAATTTGAATGAGTTGTTGTTAATATAAAATAGGAATAGATACTTGTTGATAAAAAACTGACACTTATACAATTAAGCTCATTTCATCTTTTGTTTTTCTAATTTGTTAAAACCTAAATGAATTATTGTTAACTTTGAATGAATTATTGTTAAAATCCAAATGAATACATGTTGATGAAAAACTAACTGTACAATTATGCACATCCTATTCATTTTTGTTTAACTTGTTAAAGCCTGAATAAAGTATTATTAATTTAGAATAAGTGTTATTAAAATCTATTGATCATTGACCGATAGAAATTTCCTCTAATGGTTCTTTACTGATATTTTCCCAACTTTTCACTACTATCTACTTAGTTATTTAAAATTGTGAAAGGGTAAAATCAAAAGAAATTAATTAATGTTCAATCTTTTTATGCAAAATAACTTTTTTATCATCTTGTGCGAAATAACTTACTCTCTCCATTTAAAAATATTAGACATATACTTTCATTATTTAAAAATATAAGGTATTTTTTGAGGAATTGGATGTTAAAAAATGTAAGGCATTTTTAATCTTTTGAAGTGTAATTATTACCTTTTTTTTTAAAAAATACCTTTATTGATAATAACTTATATTTATTGTTAGGTATTTAATAGAGGTAAACATGAAAAGATATGGTTAGTTTGAAAAAAGGTAACTACTTTATTGGGAGTGAGATTAGGTTAAAAATGTCTTATATTTTTTAATAGAGGGAGTATATGTTTTTAAGGTGAAATGTTAAAAAAAAAATCTTGGGCCTTTTAAAATGCAATTAATGCTATTTTTTAAAATGCAATTAATGCTATTTTTTTTTTCAAAACCCTTAATTAGGAAGTGTAAGATTTTCTAATTGATACACCCTATTAAATAAGGTGAATATGAAAAGTGCATGTCATTTCTAAAAATAATTAACTAACTTATTAAGATCTAATTTGTCTAAAGATGCCATATCATATTGAATGGAGGGATAATAAAAAGAACTATGAACTCTTTCTAAAAAGTCACTTCTATATAATAGGAGGGAACATGTACTTTCATTTGTTTTAAATATAACTTACCTTTAAGTTCTAACTAATTCGTAAACTTAAAAGAAAAAATAAGTAAGTTGGTTATTTGCAATTATATCTCTGCTGTTGTTTGTTATTTAAAGTTATTGTGCGCCCACTAAAAATTGTAACAAACGTATAAAAATATGATATATTTTATCAAATTTTTTCCTCGTTTAATTACTCTAAAAACATTATAAAAATAAATACTGGTAGTGAACTATTCTAAAGATAAAACATGATAAGTCTTATTAAATATTGTTTTAGAATTGTTAAAAAAACTTGTAATATGAAACAAATTAATTTTTTTGGGAAAAGACAAATACAATGATAGGAGAGAGTAATATGTTGAGGCTTTTTGACCCTTTTTTTTTAACACTCATACCATTTAATGATTAAAATTTAATGTCCAAAGGTAAAAATATATCAATAAATAGGGGTACTATGGAAAAAATAAATATAGAAAACAAGAGAGAATGATACCTTATATTCAAGTTCAAATCAAATAAACATTCAGATAGATTTAAAGGAGAATTTCAATGAAAATCTCTTGGCCAAACTTACTTAAATTTTTGAAATTACACTATGGTTAAGGATACCGATTTAATATTAAATTTTTGAAAAAAATAATAAATTTTTACTAATTCAAATTAATATCAAAATTTTCTCACCTTGCTTATTTATTGTCCTACTTTATTTATAGACAGTGAAAATACCAAAAAACTCTTTACTTATTATGCAAAATTATTAATTGTTAATTTTTTTTATTTCACTTATTAATTTATGAATATGAGT